AAGAGGAAGCAGAGTCCAGGATCGACAAGGTCGAAGCCCTAGTCGACCGACTGTCTGATGACACCAAAGACTCTGTGCAACACTTACAGGATGTTGTGGCGGAACTCACTTCAAAGGTGGTCATGCTCACAAGAACACTAAATGCGGGAGGAAGCAACACCCGCGTTGCACCACCACAAAATTTGAGGGCACCCGAGCCTCATGGATATGGAGGGGCCAAAGATGCCAAAGAGCTCGAGAACTTTCTATTCGACATGGAACAATACTTCCGAGTTACGAGGCCCGATTCTGAAGATACCAAAGTTTATATAGCAATAATGTATCTGAACGGAGATGCGAAACTTTGGTGGCGAACCCGTTGGGAGGAGATCTAATAAGGTCGATGTCGAGTCGACACTTGGGAGGACTTGAAGCGGGAGTTGAGTACTCAGTTCCTACCGGAGAACACAGAGTTCGTCACAAGAAGCAAGAATGATGGTCGTGCCATTGGATGACTTCCAAGTGATTCTTGGAATGGAGTTTATGCACGCGGCGAAGTTGGTGCCAATGCCATTCTTGAACTCCCTATGTATGATCGGAGGTGACGACCCCTGCGTGGTTCTCATCTCTCGGAGAGGAACCAAGGAGCCAAAACACATATCGGCCTTACAACTGAAGAAATGGGTGTGAAAAGGTGAATTAACATTCGTGGCTGCTATGAAGCTAGAGCCACTCAACAAGAAGGCCAATCATGAACCTGCTGTGGTGGCAAACGTCTTGAAAGAGTTCACTGATGTTATGCCACCCGAGTTGCCAAAGACTCTTCCACCCCACAAGGGCGTGGATCATAAAATTGAGCTGGAGCCAGGAGTGAAGCCTCCAGCGAGACCACCCTACCGCATGGCCCCGCCAGAGTTGGCAGAACTCAGAAAGCAGTTAGGTGAACTTCTAAGTGATGGTCTCATCCGTTGCTCTAAAGCACCTTTCGGAGCTCTAGTTCTCTTCCAGAAGAAACAAGATGGGAGCCTCCGATTATGCGTCGACTACCGAGCCCTTAACAAAGTGACAGTGAAGAACAAGTATCCCATCCTGCTCATCGCGAACTTGTTCGACCAGATGGGCAAAGCTAAGTATTTCTCGAAGCTCGACCTTCGGTCGGGGTATTGGCAGGTACGCATTGCTGAAGGCGACGAAGCGAAGACTACTTGTGTGACCAGGTATGGAGCGTTTGAGTTCTTGGTGATGCCCTTCGGCTTAACCAATGCTCCGGCCACGTTTTGCACTCTCATGAATCAGCTATTCAAGGAGTATTTGGATAAGTTCGTGGTCGTCTACTTGGACGATATCGTCGTCAACAGTTAAACGCTCGAGGAGCACGTCAAACACCTTCGGACAATTTTCAAGGTTCTTAAGGAGAACACTTTGTTCGTGAAAAGGGAGAAATGCTACTTTGCTCAAACTGAGATCTTATTTTTGAGGCATCGAATCGGTGATGGCTCCATTCGAATGGATAAGTCGAAGGTGCAAGCAGTTGCGGAATGGCGAACTCTAAAGAAGGTGTCAAAGTTGAGATCCTTCCTTGGTTTCGTCAATTACTATCGATGCTTCATAGCGGGATATTCAAAGCGGGCAACTCCACTGATGGAGTTGCTGAAGAAGGAGCAACCTTGGAAGTGGTCTGACAAATGTGAAATAGCATTCCAAGATCTGAAGGCTGCTGTTCTAGAAGAACCGATGCTCAAATTTTCAGACTATGGAGAGCCCTTTGAAGTCCATACAGACGCTTCGGACTTCGCTATTGGGGGAGTACTCATGCAGGAGGGTCATCCGGTGGCCTACGAGAGCCGCAAACTCAACGAGACCAAGCGGCGGTATCCAATGCATGAGAAGGAGATGACAGTAGTGATCCATTGTCTACGAGTTTGGCGACACTACCTCCTCGGGTCGCGATTTGTGCTGAGGACGGACAACATCGCCCTGAGTTATTTCCAAACTCAGAAGAAGCTCTCCCCAAAGCAGGTGCGATGGCAGGACTTCCTGACTGAATTTGATATGGCAATGGAGTACAAGCCCGGGAAGGCGAATGTCGTGGCCGATGCGCTGAGTCGGAAAGTGGAATGCGTGAATGCCGTACAACTGGAGGGTAGAGGCTAAGCAAGTCAGTTGCACTCCAACTTCCTTTCCCGAATCAGGGATGGACTGTATAGTGACCCCCAGGCAGTTATCCTGATGCAGCTTATCAAAGAAGGCAAGGCATGATGATTTTGGGTCCAGGAGGGACTTGTTTACACAAAAGGGAATATGGTTTATGTTCTCCGAGTGGACAATTTAAGGCGTGAGCTCTTAAAAGAGTGTCACGATTCCCTTTGAGTTGGACACCTAGGCATTCACAGAACGTTGGCTCTCGTAGAGAGGGTCTTCTACTAGCCGAAGATGGGGACTGATGTGGAGGAATATGTTCGAACATGCCTTACTTGCCAACAAGACAAGGTGGAGCAACGGAAGCCGGTGGGATTTTTGGAGTCGTTGCCTGTACCAGAAAGGCCGTGGGAGAGCATTTCCTTGGACTTCATATCAAGCTTGTCACTTGTAGGGAGACTCGGATCGATACTCGTGGTGGTCGATCGGTTTTCAAAGTATGCAACTTTCATTGCTGCTCCCCTACACTGTTTAGCAGAGGAGGCAGCCAAGTTGATGATGAAGGATGTGGTGAAGTATTGGGGAGTCCCACATAATATCATTAGTGATCGAGACACTCGGTTCCTGGGACGATTCTGGATCGAGCTATTCAAATTGTTGGGGTCAAAGTTATACTTCTCTACAAGCCTCCACCCCTAGACGGATGGCCAGACTGAAAGGATAAACTCGCTCTTGGAGCAATATCTCCGGCACTACGTGAGTGCCAACCAACGAGATTGGGTGAAGCTGTTGGACATTGCCCAATTCTCGTACAGCTTGCAGCGGAGCTCTGTATCCAACAAGAGCCCCTTCGAGATCATTACAGGACAATAACCGTCGACTCCGCACACCATGGCAATTGGGTATACTGGGAGTAGTCCATCAGCCTATCATTTCACAAAGAAGTGGCATCGAAATGCAGATATTGCGCGGGCTTACTTGGAGAAGGCGGCAAAATGGATGAAGAAGTGGGCAGACTTGGGAAGGCGACCGCAAGAGTTCAAAGTTGGCGATTTGGTGTTGGTAAAGCTCCAACTAGCATTACTCCAATTCTTTAAGAACAAAGTCCACAAAGGATTGGTGCGCAAGTATGAAGGGCCCTTCCCAATTATCAGCAGGGTAGGCAACGTCTCTTACAAGTTGCAGCTGCCGGTGTGGTTCAAAATTCACAATGTTCTTCACGCCAGCAACCTAAAAGCTTACCACTCCGATCCACAAGATGCTTCCCGAAGTGTTCCAACTCGGCTACCTCCCATCACAGCCTCCTACGAGAAGCGAGTTGAAACCATTCTGGCGGACCGCAAGATAAAGCTACCCAACGAAGCTGAGCAGACAGAGTACTTGGTGAAGTGGCGAAAGCTTCCCCGAATTGAAGCCAGTTGGGAGCCTGAAGATGTCCTGCGACATGAAGAAGAAATCATCAACAACTACCAACAAGCGTCGACGAGGGCGTCGACAGTTTAAGTGGGGGAGAATGTCACGAACGGTCGTCGCGCACTCGCAATAACTCCGTTCAACGAACCGTTCGTCGCTCACACCTATATGTACAACTGCTTGACAGCATGTTTTCTCTTGGTTTTGGGTCATTTTGCTTATAAAAATGTAAGTTCGAACAAACTGCAGCGTTACAAAGCGACCGCTCACCGAACCGAGTAAAACAGCCTCAAAACAGCTCCGTTTTCGCGTGCCGCGAGCTGATTTCTGGAATCTGCCTCCGCTCACCAAAACGTCAGCCATCTCAGCCCCTTTGAACCCCCCGGGTGGCACAGGGCTGGATGGGGCTTTGAATATATACTGGGCGTTGAACACTCTTTCGCAAGTTCGCACGTTGCCTTGACGGGAACTTGTTGTCGCGCCCGGGACCAGGTGAGCGGCTGTTTGTGGGCTTGCAGCTGTTCGTTCAACCTTCTAAAGCCCTTGTTTTTCCTCTCTCCCTCTTTTCTCTTGTGCATGCAAGGTGCTCGCTGAATTGCTTGTAAAGCTTCCCCTTTTCGCGAGACGTTATGACTTGTCCGTCGCTCGTTCTTTCGAACTAATCAACTTTCTCTTTTTACAGGTCCTTCGGGACCTACGAGAGGTTACAAGTGGGCTGATCCTTGCGGAGCAATATCGCAAGGGCGAAGCACGACTTAGGCAACGTAAGCTAAGTTCGTGTCTTTGCCACAAGGGTGACTCGCGACTTAGGCAACGCAAGCTAAGTTCGCGTCTTTGGCCGCAAGGGTGCCTCACGCCTTAGGCAATTCCAGCTAAGACCGTGACAATACGCCAACAAACCACTCTCATTAATGCATCCATCATATAAGGTAAGGGGGGCATTAGCCAATGCACATCCTGCTTAACGTCCAGATATAAAAGTCAAGCAAGAGGGCTGACAAAAACTCTCTATTCTCTCGTTTATGTTGCTCTCGCACTATTATCTTCCTCTCTCACCGTCTTGATTTAAACAATCGAACACCCCGACATATACCGATCATGCAAGACTCTCGGTATCATCCCGAGACACGATCAGAAAGTGACTCAGCAATTAAAAGAATTTAGTTCTTACTTGGCTTCACCGTATCGAGGCTTTCCAATGAATCACCTCTCCCAATGGATTCTCTATACTGGTTGATCACATCAACTCCTCTCCTCAGCAAAGAGGAGTCATCAAGAAGGATTTGTATCTTCAATAATGAACCAATCAGATGACTCACCCTCTCTGTGTACCAACACTATCCTTGTTCAGACGGGATTGAAAGATTGCGCTGCGCTGTTTACAACTCACCTTGTAGATCAGAGGAGATGGGTCCCGCATTATAAAATTGAACCCTGTGATCTCGGCAGGCCGAGCCATAGCCATGTCTTGCAGCCGCTTTGACACAGGGAAAGAAGCCTCGATCGCCTCTCTCCGCATCTTAAATTGGTCCAGCGGAGCACCAAACTCGACCTGCGACGCGTTTTGACCCGTTTCGCAGATCGCGGAGAAAACGGAAATATTAGAAGAAAAGGGTTCATTCGAGATCTCTCTCTCTCTCTCTCTCCGTCTTCCGCTCTTTTGAATTCCCAGGTCTCTTTAGATCGAGCTCCTCGTCCTTGTTCCGTTCTTCGCGTTCGATCTCCCGGGAGGAACATCATGGCCCCAGTGTCGGCGCTCGCCAAGTACAAGCTAGTGTTCCTGGGGGATCAGTCCGTGGGGAAGACGAGCATCATCACCCGGTTCATGTACGACAAGTTCGACAACACCTATCAGGTCGATCTGTGTTATTATCGTTTTCCCTTTTCTTTTACAGATCCGAGATCAGGCTTTCGAATGTTTTCTCTTTCTAAATCCTGTTAATAGTCCATGCGTTGGATGCTGATATGCTTGATCAGGGTCTCGTCATTCGTGGCAATGTTGGACGCAGATCGAGCTATGCATTTCTTGATCTGAAATATTTGAATTAGGTTTTATTCGAATTGTTCTATTACGACTAATTTGTCTTCAGATCTTGTAGATCTGTCGTGATCTAGATGGGTTGTAAATGCGGGGTGTTGCTCTTGAATCATCGTGTTGGGCATCTTCGGATGACATACAATTTTACTAAATTTTCTTGATGGTAAAGAACTGGAGGCTCAATGATTAGTAAAAGTTGTAGGAAAGCCAAATCTGATTTGATTCGATTACTCATTTCTGGATCTGGCATGCCAACAGAATTTGCCGTGATCATCTGCCAATGAACAGCAACTTCTTTTTTTTGTTATATGGATAATTACACTGCATAGGAGATACAAGCTGCAATAGGATAGCGTTATATATGCCAACCACTTATTCTATTTAATGAGCATTGAGCATCAAGTGTTTCCATTTAGGTGATAATTAAAATTGCAGATCATAGTTTTTAAAATCCTAAGGGACATAGAGGAAAAAGATTATATAAAGAATAGAAATGGCGAGGATAGAAGGATAAGAGGTACAAAGATTTGTGCGGTTTCCTGATTCCTTCACAAAATCAAATATGAAAATCAAAACCAATCTGCCGTGTATGTGTCATATACATTGGCGTAACCAACTCCGGTCTCTCTCAAACTAGGACTTTAATATATCCAAATATGGTAATAGAGCTAGATGCAGCATCTGTTTGCTCCAAGTTGGTCTCCTTTTAGCACTGAACCTCTCATTTGCTGGTGCGGTGTCTTTCTGGATCAGTAACAGTTGACCAAGTTTTTTATGCAGCTTTTTTCTTTCAAGATTCTCCAGTTTAGTTTGTCTAGTTTTACTGCCACTGGCAGACAATACTAACTTATTAGCCATATTTTAGTTGAAACTTTTGTATCTGTAATTTTTTGGATCAAAATACATCCCTTGATGTGGAAAATTGAATAGGTTTAAAAGTGTTTGTGTTTATAAACTTTATACTATGGGTAAACTTTGATCCTAGGCAGGAGTAACATCTTTCTTAATCTCTTAGTGAACTTTAGAATCAATTTTGTGGTTTTCGTCTTTTAGTTAACGTACCATCCCTATATATATGTGGTGCAAGGATTCCTTCTCCTCTGGAAAGAATCAAGACAATCTAATCTATTATCCTTTATACTTTTATATTTTATTCCCTCTTAATGTACATTAGCCAGCACATTTAGTTCAACAGGTCGTGATGTATTGTGAGACAAAATTACTCTGAAAAACTTATTAATTATATTTTCTATTTAAATTCTCTATTACCTTTTGAAATGCTATCAATCATAAGATGTCTGTAGTTGTTCTATGGATTTTTATTGGCAATCATCTGTGTTTACAATAATTACTTAATTATTTAACCATTGGATTTGGTAACACGACCTAATAGCTCTAATTTGTAAATTTTTTATGTTAATTTTTGTGGAACTCACTGAAATATTTTATGGTTGCTTGCTTGCTGCAATTACTAAGTTCACACTGTCAATTTTATACAAATGTTACTAAATATATGAAATCTTGTATAGAAGACGCTGCTCAGTGTCCCGTGGACCATTTCAAAGCTTCAGAATAAGCATCTACTCTTAAATATAATAGCTGACTACAACTTTTGTTTGGAATTGCACTAATATAGCTAGTGCTTTTAGCAATGGTTAAATTGCCCAACATAGACATTTTTTGTTCTTTTTCTATAATTTTCTTATTCTATGGTAATTGGTAAACAGTGCTTTGATCATCACAACAGAGTAAGTGATATACCATATGTATTTTGCCCATACAAGTTTAAGGTAGTATATATTCTTCTATTGATTACTTCTCTTGCCTGTCATTTCTAAAGTGTTAACATGATGCACAGGCTACAATTGGCATCGATTTTCTGTCAAAGACTATGTACCTTGAAGACCGAACAGTCAGACTGCAGCTATGGTAGAGTCATGGCTGTATCGCTCTTCATTTCAATTTATGATTTTCCCCATGTACAAATGCCTTTTACTGTTACAACACAGCACTAAATAATAATAATTTTTGCTTGTGATGCCTGTTATGATTGTCTCTCTTTACATACTCATTCTCTATCATTGTATGAAATTGTTATTTGGGGATGCATTCGTAAGACACAAAACAGCACCAAAATGGGTACTAACAAGAGATTATTCCTGACGTTTGTCACTTACAAGACTTTGATTGGAAATTATTTTTCTGAAAGCTACCTTATTAACTTCAAATTTCAGTTGGCAGTTTTAACTGTGATGATGGGGATATTGGTATATTTAACTCATTTGAGGGTTGGTAAATTTAAATTGCTGAAATTTTCAGCACTTGACACATCAAATAGCAACTGATTATCCAAAGATATTCCAAAATGGTATGATCTGATAATATTCTGTCTCATATTGGTCGAAAGACAATGATACAAATATCATGAGCTGACTTGACTGCCTGGATGAAAACAGAGCTTCATTCTCATTTTAGTTGAGATCATTGTTTTGATTTTTTTAATTGTAGTACTTAAGAGATCTTTAGATTCTCCCATTTTCTGACACATCTATTTATTCTTATGAATTTTAATCCTACACAATGCAAAATCTTTTTGCTATGGTTAAAACATTCTGTCTAGTATATGAGAAAACTTGAAGCATGTTTAGCCAGATACCATGATGCGTTAAGGTTTAAATTAGACCTCATAATTGAACATTTTTTGAGCAGCTATATTTTGCACATTTCATTCTCATTTAAATTTGTCCTAGATATTCATGCTTGTGGTCGAATATACCAGTAGTTCATGCATTTGGAGTCTTTTTTTGCTTCTCAGCTTCAGTATTGCTATCATCTTCTTTACTTCATTTCACTACACAACCATCTCGACATGGGAGGCCTGGATATATGTTATATTATTTGTAAATAGATTGTTCTACTTGTTTTTTGTTTCTCTCCAGTGAAATTAAACTGGCACTATGTATTTAGCTTTGAAGATATAGAACTCATAGCAAACATAAGCTTATATATCATCACAAATAAAAAATTGGAATTTGAAAGCCGAAGTCATTATGAACAGGTAAGAGAATAAAAAAATTATTCTAGTAGTAAATATATTATAATTATAGACTAGCATGGCTCAATTGCAATCCATAGGACATTTACAGGAAACTTGTGTCCTTATAAGTAATATTTCAGGATTTTTTTAATATATTGAAGAATCTTTTGAAAGTTTATTGCTGAATTCTAATCATTCTTAGGGACACAGCTGGGCAGGAGAGATTCAGGAGCCTAATCCCAAGTTACATACGGGACTCTTCGGTTGCAGTCATTGTATATGATGTTGCAAGTATGCTTTCTTGGTAAATCTTATTGGTTATTTGACAAGATGTCTGTGTATCTAGTTTATTATGCATTTATCGTGTTCAAAGGAATCAACCAATGATTTTCCACCTATTTTCTTTCTGATTGCTAATGATTCTAGCATGTAGATATCTGTGGAGCATGGACACACCGATTTGGGTGGCGTATCTATGTCGGACACTAATATGTTGTCGACATGGCCGAATACATGTCTGACACATCTTTTTTTAATTTATTTAGTATAGTTTTTGAACACATGCATTGGAATAACTCTCTCATTCCTTGCCGCTCCCACATTCATATTTTATGCGGGCGACGGAGAAACTAGTGCGGAGGGGTCTTCAACAGAAGTGGGCCCACATGAGGCCCAGCTGATGGTTGAAGTCGAGTGGTGGATTCTTGGTGGCTTGCCCAGGGCAGCATGGTCCCACCATTCTTTTGTCAACATTTCTTCTCCCTTGTCAACATTTCTGCTCCCTTCTTGTGTCGCCAAGTGTTAGAAGGGTTGATTTGCTATATTGGTCTCAAGAAATGATGGGAATAGTAGTGTTTCATGTATGGTAGTACTATAATATCACATAACTATATTTACTGATGGTAAATTTATTACTTTATTACCTTTTATTCTGATTAACTTGTATTGTTAATTGACCATGTAACAAGAATAAAATAAATTATGTGGACATATGTTGGAAATTTATTTAAAAAATATTAAATGTACTATGTGGAATTTAACTACTTGTACTATAAGCTATAATTTGGTGCAAGGCTCATGTGGAAATATTTTTTTGTTGAATCATTATTTGGTAGATTAACAACAAAGACTTGTATGAATTGTAATTTTATATACTGAAAAATTGCTTGTATTTAATATATAATTTTATATGCTGTAGAGTTCAAACAGTGTATGTTCTATTTTTATTCAGTTGAATTTTTGTTTGGTTTTCTGACAAATTTAATTATATTACAGTTGTACTATCTAAGTACATTTAAACTTTTATGATGATATTTATTTGTTCACATTGGTAAGTTTATAAAATTTAAGTATAAATACTATAAAACTCATGTTAATTCAATATTATATTATATAAAAAAAAAATGCATGTGTCCTTGCCCTGTCCGTGTCCTAATTTTTTTGAAAATGGTGTGTCATAGTGTCTATGTCCTGTGTCCTGTGTCCATGTTTCTTAGGGAGACAGTCAAGATTCACATACTATACATATTCTTTTTCTTTAGATTATGTCATCCTGGTTGTAAGAACTATCATTTATTACTTTGTGATTTGTGTTTCAGGTCGGCAATCTTTCTTAAATACTTCAAAATGGATTGAAGAAGTTCGAACGGAGAGGGGAAGTGATGTCATCATTGTCGTTGTTGGGAATAAAACAGACCTGGTTGACAAAAGGTGACCAGTGCCTTTGTATGCTTTATTTAATTTGGTGAATTTTAGACATGGTGATTGCTTGGACAACAAAGTTTTATAAAAGTGTTCTGTAAGACTGTCGAATTTTCTTTAGTCTTAGCTCAAGAAACAGATTAAGAATAGACTGAAAATAAAGTAAAGATAATGGTAGCAATACTGAAGAGCAAGATTGTATAAAGAGCATAACCATTTTGACATGGGAGGCCTGGATATTCTTAGAGAGCATAAATTCAATAAAAGCTGGGTTTTTCATAAATTTGTTTAACCACATAAAACAAGATTGCTGTTTTAACTGTCTTTGCACCATTTTTTGTCAATTTTTTCTTCCTAGTTTTCCATGCTTGCCTGAGGGTTCTTTGATTTAATTTTTAAATATTGGTTGACATAATTGAGTTATATTTTTCATTTTATGGAATAGGCAAGTCTCTATAGAGGAAGGAGAAGCTAAAGCACAGGAACTTGGTGTCATGTTCATTGAGACAAGCGCAAAAGCTGGCTTCAATATAAAGGTTCACTTACACTCAAGCATTCCATATTTTGTTTTTATTTTGTCCAGAAAATAGAAACTTTTAAAATAGACAATACATCGTTGCAAGCTCATGCTTTATCAATTGATAAAGAAAAGAGCCGCTTGACAAAGCAGAGCCCAAACAGCCTTCAGATGGATCAGCCATGCGGTTGAATTTTTTGCTTTCTTCATCTGGTAAAGATTGTTTTCTGAGGTGCAAAAAATCACTTCAGTGAAGGACCTTAAATGAGAATAATGAATTTTTGAAGAGAAATAAGATTTGAGCTTTTTGTTCCCAGCTGATTAAGGCCCTAATCAAGTCTGAGGTTGCTGAGGAAACACCAGGAAAATAAGGGGATATTTCAGTTGATATACGATGTGCTACTGAAACGATGTTTTGAATGTTTTTCCTATGGATTTCTCAACTCCATATTTCAGATTTTTAAGGATTAGTCCTCTCCACTTATCTCTGTGACATCCATTGCTGAAGTGACCACTGACTGCTTCCTTGGTCTTTTCAGGCTCTGTTTCGAAAGATTGCTGCTGCTCTCCCAGGGATGGAAAATCTTTCTTCAACTAGGCAGGAAGACATGGTCGATGTGAATCTGAAGGCCACAAATGCGAATTCATATCAGTCGCAGCAACAGTCTGGAGGTTGTAGCTGTTGAATTTATCATATTTATAGAGGTGTTGTATTTTCTCAGATTCCATCGACTTATAAAACTGCATCAGCAAAATTAGGATGGGATGGTTTATGGTAGTTTTGCCTGCGCAAGTCTTCTGTTATTTCCTGGTGTGTGCTAAACATTATTTTCTGCATTTTCAGATTATTTTTTCTTGTTAGAGGGATCATGTATTCTTCAATTGCAGAGAGAGGTGGTAACACTAATAAATAATGTGTGTTTAACTTGGTCTTAGGAAATATAGTTAATAGAAAGTTATCAGTCAATTATTGATACACAAGTGGATCTGATTTTTATCGATAATTGATACAGTCCATGCATTGTGCTCGAGGTGTGGATCCAAATTTGGAAGGAGGCATGACAAGCCTCGCTCATCAATTTAATTTGAATTATGCGTGCGCAATGGAACATGTGCAATTGTTTCAGTACAGGCAAGAATACATTGGTCTATCATGGTGAAATAACGAGGACTCGAAAGAGATATTAGGCTCATAATTTAACCTATCTTCCGTTAGAGACATAGATTAACATTTATTATTAGATCTATTCACTTAGGTACTTCTGAATGAGAAAGCGATAATAATAGGATAGATAGATAATAAGATCCGAGGAAATATGACTGGAAATTATCGATTTTTATTGAATGTTTAATTACATTATCCTCTTATACATTTTGGATCATCCTAGTATGTGAAAACATAACATAGATATTATTGCTAAATATTGATATAAAAAATAATTTAATTTAATTACCCAGCACTATAAAAGATAGCATAAAAATAAATACATAAATAACGTACGACAATAATATACAAACAAATATAAATCTATGTAAAATATAAACAGAAAAAAAATATCAAAGTCACGTATTATGACCAACTATAATTTCGATTTTAATTTCAGAAATCATAAGGTCAACGTGTAAAAGGATTTATTCATTCCGATTCTAATCCTATTACATTTTTGAATTTTGTTATCGATTCCAATTCCAATAAGCGCCACGAGAGTACGATGAAAATAAAATGAATAAAAGTAAGATCCATGATTTATCTTTACAATTTGTGCCAGCTAACGCGCCTTATCGTAAGTTTCTTCCGTTAGTGTGCATGCTATATAATGCACCGATCTGCGCATCATGCACGCGTCTTTCGTGATCATGTCATGCTAACTACGAATATTTCTACGATCCCAGTGACATTAGTGGGGACAGAAATCGTAAATCAACAGACAAGGAAGTCGTAGGTTTCCTAATAGAGATTAGAGAGGCTCGGGAGAGTAGGGTTCTGTTGAACGAGGATGAGGAATATATAGAACTCCACCCGGCCCAAAATCCCTTCGCCTCTTCGCTTTTCTCCGTCTCCTCGAGCATGGACGAACTCGACAAGATGGAGCTTCACATGACAGGTCAGTTTCCCCGCTCCCGATGACCGCAATCTTCTCCATGATTCCTTCTCGATCTGATGTTCTTTTCTTGTGCTACATTTACTTACATCGAGGGAAAAAAAAAAGATCCGCAATCCTTTGCAGGGATTTATACGTTAAAGACCTTCCTTTTTAAATAATCGACCTTTTCTCCGTTGATTGGAGACGGAAGTCAGGGTTCGTGGTTACGATTCGCGATTGAATGAGTCAACCTTTAGGCACAAAGTTTCTTTTGCTTGTTTTCATCCTTTGACTTTTGGTAATTTGCTTCGCGAGCCTTCCAAGCTCCGATTTTAGGTTGTAGAGACGACAAATGTGGGAACCGTCCCTTTAGGTTTTTCGGATTCAATTAGGATTGCGAGTGGGGCATTTGTTGGTCTCTTCCGGATCATTTGAGCTTGGGATCTTCGTATGGCCGGATAATTCTAATTTAAGGGATTGATATTAGGAACAGTAGTCGGATGATTCTTGATTTACAACAAAGAGCAATGAAATTTTAGACGCTTTTAGAAGTCTTCGAAGAAAACAACATTTATAGAGAAAGGAAGCACACTGATCAAACAAACTAAATGCTCTTCCTCAACCGACAGAAGTATTCAAACAGGATTTCCTTTTGGAAGTCTGTTGCTTTTGTTTTGAAATACTCTGCGTTTAGAATAAGCTGCTCCAAAGGATACCATGTTTATTGACAGTGTTAGTCACAATGAACTTGTCATACCTTAAGCTGATAACTTTCCAATTTCAGGGCCTTCAAAATCGGCAACCGAAGCTGATCGACCACCACCACCATCATCAAGGTTGAGAAGCTGGCAATGGTGGTTCATAGTGGCCCTTAACATCTTCTTCCTTCTTGCTGGCCAAACTGCTGCCACTCTTCTGGGGAGGTTTTATTATGACCAAGGCGGCAACAGCAAGTGGATGGCCACACTTGTCCAAACTGCAGGCTTTCCGATCCTCTGTCTTCCTCTATTCCTTTTTCCTTCTACCCACCCTCCCCCCGCTACTTCTATCATCCCTCACCCTTCACATGCTAAGATTGCCTTAGTATATGTTATTCTGGGCCTTATCATAGCTGCTGACAACTTAATGTATTCCTATGGTCTCCTGTACCTTCCTGTGTCAACATACTCCCTCGTTTGTGCCACTCAACTTGCCTTCAATGCTGTCTTCTCCTACTATCTGAATTCTCAAAAATTCACTGCTTTTATAATGAATTCTGTTGTTCTCTTGACATTCTCTGCTGCCCTACTTGGTTTTAATGAAAATTCAGAGAGCTCGGCAGATGTTTCCAAGGGGAAGTATGCAATCGGTTTCATATTGACATTAGGAGCATCAGCCACATACTCGCTCATCCTCTCTCTAATGCAGCTCACCTTTCAAAAGGTTATTCGGAAGGAGACTTTCTCAGCTGTGCTGGAAATGCAGATTTACACAGCATTTGTAGCCTCTTGTGCTGCTGTTGTTGGCTTATTGGCAAGTGGGGAGTGGAAGGATCTGAAGAGTGAGATGGAGGCATATGGAAAGGGGACAGTGTCATATGTGATGACTCTGGTTTGGACTGGTCTGTCCTGGCAGGTAGCCTCAGTCGGAGTTGTGGGCCTCATCTTTGTGGTGTCTTCTCTGTTCTCCAACGTGATAAGCACTTTAGCACTGCCTGTTGTGCCCGTATTTGCTGTGATCTTCTTTCATGACAAGATGAATGGTGTCAAGATTGTTGCTATGCTAATTGCAATTTGGGGTTTTGCTTCTTACCTCTACCAGCACTATCTTGATGACTCGAAAGCTAAGAAGACTGTAGGTCATACTGAGTATGTCCCTGCTCATGGGTCTTGACAGTTGTTGCTCAGGTTTTAATCTGAATAACTTGAAGGCTTGGACCTTAGTATAGCTAGAGCTGTATCGTATGATGGGCTTCATCTAAATATTTCTCTCTAAAAGGTAACACTCAATTTTTCCTGGGTTTCATATTGCAACCTGTGATGCAAATTTCTGTTAGTATATGTGCTGATTTCTTGTTATTTCTTAACTTCCGGAACACTTCTTTGCTCTTTGATTGAGTTAAGGCCCAAAGCGGGTGATTGCAGATAAGTAGCTTAGTCTTATATCACTTGATCTCAACTGCTTTTGGTAATTGAAACAGTTTCTTTTTTATAATTCTGTGACATTAATCATCGACAACTTTTCTTCAAGGTTATGAACTTATTTTTGTTGTGAATATCTCCCCACATCATTGTAGATGTACTCATTATAAATCATTTGCAACAAAATTAAACAAGTTAGATTTTTATAATCACCTCAAAGCAATGCGATAGCTTCCATTGTTTTTCTGAATCTGGTTTCACTAGATTAAACTGAGGCCAATCTTAAAGTTTGACCATGGTTATAGAGTATGAAACATAATGAATGCTGGTGTTCTTGATGAGAACTTTAAGATGTTCAGTGATAAAAGGCCATGAATTAGTGCTGTGAAACTTTGTGCAAAAAATATAACAAATCGTTGAAGTATGTTAGGGTTTAAACAGAGTCATATTTGGTTTAGGTTGGATGAGATTAGTCTTTACATTAAGTTAATTTGATTCATTGGGCCCTGAATTAGTTTTTTCTTGTTTCCAGAGTATTTGATTGATTTTTGTTACATTTAGGTAATTTTGTGAGTGTTAAAAAGCGCTAATGATTTCGTTAGCTCCATTGATGGGGCATTTAAATAAATTTGATTTTTTTTCAATGTGAATAATTCTAACACAATAATTATTAGTACAAAGCAGATTAAGCTCCTTTTAGAACCAAAACACATACATTAATATTTGGTCGTATAAGCAGAGGTATCATTGACTTCAAATGGAATTATTACATTATGGTGGTCTGAAGTTTTTGTTTTCTCATCCTTCCCCCAATCCTTCTTAAAAGTTTTTGTTTTCTGATTTGGTTTCTCCTTTCTGCTCCTTTTTCCTTATATTTGGTGCTTTCATTTAATAAGTTGACATGAACGTGATTCTTATTAGCTCTTAGAAGAAGAATAAATAGAAAACCTGCAATTAATCGATGACATTAAGCAAATAAAGCAAAGATATATAAAGGAAAATAGAACTTATTTTGATGGATCAAATAAATCATTTTGATTAGTTGTGCAATAGATATCTCTGCTTATGTAAACGAGAGAAACAAACTGTCTCCAAATTGATCATTTTGATTGGATAAGGCATGATTATTATTTTTACTTCAGATTGTTCTTAGATTGAGATTGTTCAATCTTGATTTAACTGAAGGATCAAAATCCTAATGCAAGCAGGACCATTAAAAACCGAAATAGAATTGGACTGGAGAAGTTGAATTTAACCCAATCAAATTGCAATGTAAATCACTCAGATTCTTTTTTTTTGTTTTTGTGTCTTGCAATGATTGGGATAAGACACCTTTTTTGTACATATCTCCCATGTATTATCACAAGGAAATACAAGATTAATATGGCATGCAAAAGTATTAGTTGTTTCTGAACTTTGCATTACTGTTGCAGTTAACCACTACTTTTCCAGCTTTGTCTAATGAGTTCAAACAATCGTATCAAAATTTCTTCTCAAACACCTATTATATCGATTGACACGAGCAAATTAATATGTGGGGGTTCATGTGTGAGATCATAATAATATGAATAAGAACGATAATGAGTAGGGCACTCAATTTTTATCCAAATTATATTTTTAGTTCGGCTAACTATCAAGATGCATATTCCATATTCAATTTGATGTCTTGGTAGTTTCAGGCTTGTTCTTTTGTAGGGTGTGTGTGATCGTTTAGATAATTATTTAAATAAATTATTTAGATAATCATTTTGAATGATTTCTGAATGTGCGATACAAAATATCAATCATCTTAATATCCTAATATCCTAGAGGTATTCTGGTGGCATAAGATTGAATAACATTTAAGATAATATTTAGGATTGATTCATTGTCTTATCTTTTCGCACGATCGTTCAAATCTTATGAAGTCGATCATTATATCTTATCCCGCTTTTACGAAAATATCTTCTAGGATCTTAAACTAAATATTTTTCAATTCATCTTTTTCTATAAAGATTATTAGAGGATCATAAGAAATTAAGTGGAGGTTGATCGCAAGGGTGATATATGATTTAGGAAAAACCAATTAATTTGATGATAGATATTATCTTAATCATAATTTTTTACTTCTAAATTTAACTAATTATTATTATTTCACATGATCCAACCATAATTCTCGGTCTAATCTCTTTCTCAGACACAATTAAATGGTGTTGTTATCAAAACAAAATTCATTTTTCTTCAACCACAAAATTTGCATTTAGTAATTCAAGATTACAGAAAAAAGTGTAGTTAAATAAGAAAAGATAAAAGCAATTCATCAAAATTCGAGTTTACTTTTTTACTTTGTGGAAACAGAGGTAGAAGACTTTTATCTTTTCAGTAAATATGGACAATATCATATTTTTATATTTTAAGTTCGACATTAATAATGGCACAGCGTGTAAAAATGCGACAAGTGGAGGACGTAAAGCCGTCAACGGAACATGTCGTGTTCCGCCAGCCTTCCCGACCGGTCGGGGAACAGCAACGGCCCTCCGGTCGTCGCCCGCCGGTGGTGGTACGGGCCAAGCGCCGCTCCTGGTTTCTCGCTGGGGAATCCCAGCTCCGTCACCCTGGAACGCCACCGGCTGTGGCTCGCGGTCACCAGCGGGCTGAAGCACACGGCGAACCCCGCGAGGCCGCCGCTCTGATGGTTGTGATGGTGGCGGTTCTCCATCGTCGCCCGCCTCACAGAGGACGGCTCCGGCCACCCGCCTCCGCTGCCCTCCGGCTCCGCGGCGATCTTCTTCCTCCGGCTGCCACCAAGGAGCTCCATCAGGCAGGATCTCGACCGCCGCGGCTTCTCATACCTGTCACCGGATCCGTGGCTGCAAAAGATCGTCGAGAGAATGGAGGACCGCCGGGATCCAACAGCGACACGGGAGGCGGAGCGGGGTAACTGGAGGGACAGAGCCGAAGGCGGCTGGGGAAAAGGTTTCCTCCTTTGCTGCTCCGGCGAGTGCGCTTCCGAGGCGGCGGTTGCCGTGAGGGCGAGAAGGCGCTCGCGGAGGCAGGCGGCGCAGACGCCGACGCCACCCTCGAGGGGGTGCCGCGTGCACTTCATCTCCGCGTCGTCTTCTCCGTTGCAGAAGAAGAAGAAGGAGAACCGATTAAAAAGGGTCCTTTTTTGGGGTAATTAAGTCTATTTTTATGGTTGTTAGTACTTAGTTCTCGTGAAGATGATATGTGACAGAAGCTGCTCAGGCAGAAGATTTCATGGGAGAATTCCGAATACGAAGACAACAACAATAAAAGAAGATCTGAAAGCTAAATTTAGATGAACAATCGATGGACTTGGATTGTCTGTCGTACGCGTTCTCGTGTGTGGTTGATGCAACTCCTCCTCCCATGCAATGCATTTACGTTCGTGGCTTAATGTTGATGCTAAATATCAAAAACAATAATATGAAACCTGACCAAATATATTTCAGATGGAGAACTGATGATATTTGTGGATCGAGATGACTATCATTTTTCATTTGAGAACCATCTTGTTATTGAAGGCACAATATAATATTTTAGAGAATTAAGATTCATTTTAATCCTTGTAATTGTAATTTTAGTCATCGATTTTTTATGCTCTTATGATTTATTCGTATCTAAAATAATTTTTTTATATTTTAAAAATTTTAGTATATAAACTTCTAAGTCTAAGTTAACAGATGTTAGAGCCTACTTACGTGACATGTTGACTCACAATAAAAATTATGATCTTTTATTATTTTAAATAATTTTTTTAATTTTTTTATTATTGTAAATGAGTGGAACTATACATGTCGATCATCTACCTAAATGAGCCACAAGAGGACGTATGGATCAGCCCCCATCAATTATCGATCCCCCCTCCATTGGTTGCCCGTATAGAAGTCGATTCCTAAGACCTGAACAAGGGACCAGACTCGAAGCATCTACTGTTTTCACTCCATTAAGACTAACTTTACTATCGAAAGGGTTGAGTCAGGAAATTTTCTTTGAGCGCTGATCGCTTGTGCAGAATCCTTAAGGAGTCCAAGGCCCACTTTGGCTCAGCCCCAAAACCCCGAAAAGGCCGAAGCCAACCTCGATCTGACTCAAGAATTATCTCGGGCACTCAACACCCACCTTAAAATCACCCTCGGATGGACCCTCCTCGACTCCAATCACGGGCTACCAAAACAATCTTGTACCTTTAGGACAGAATCAAATTGTGTCGACACATGGTCAAACATAGACAACAAACACCAACAACTCTAACCAAAATCGATTAAGTTTTCCATTGCACGACAAGCTTGATTGGTTTATTTTATTTTATTTTTATAATTATCGTAAGCTTAGTTGATTTTACTTGACACCTTTATGGTATTCGTACGTAAAGGATAAATATTGAAGGTCTACTACAGACAAAAAGGTTAGTGAATAAGCAAACACACTATCACGATATCATCATCCTCCTCGATGTGTCACTTTGGGATTAAATGAGTATAAACAACCGAAATGGACACACTTCGCTGATGCATTGCGCATGGGTGCTCGCGTACAATTGGTAGCCAGGCAAAACCAAGCTATGAGATGAGGCTCCGCGCTCGCGTTTCTAGTTTCGATCGGTCAAGAATATTTGAGTAGGGAGAGGAGAAGCTTAATTTGTGCGTATGGGTTCTCGCTCTTCCGGTTTGGTTTGATTCGATGAAAGAAAGTGGCAGCGACGCCGGCTTCGATGACGGATGGAGAAGACGTGGAGTCCATGCAAGAGCTTCTTGCATGCCTCCAAAGCCGACGACGTGTTTGGCCGACTCGCAGCAGAAGGCGTGGTCAACGCCGTCGCCCGAGTCTTCGTCGGCCGTGCTGATTTCAGGATTAGATACATGGGACTCGAATGAATATATTCGAGGACTGTTTCTTATTTGATGAATGGATATTCCACAGAAGAAGAAGAAGAAGAAGAAGAAGAAGAAGAAGAAGAAGAAGAGACATAGGACTGCTAATGCGGCGCCATTGGTTATCTTCCTCGGGGATCGCTAATGAACACATGGGTCTGGCTCTGATTACTGGGATGCTTAGGGTCAATCCATATGCTTTAAGCTTTAAATTACTTCCATCACGGAGAGTTGGCACCAGTTAGAACTCAGCAGCATGTCCCATTCTTCGCCTGCTTGCCATCATCCTTCATGTGATGTGATATCTGCCAACGTACTGCACTGCGACTAAACAATGCTAACCGAGATGGATCCCAGTTAATCTATGCTTCTAATCCAAGACGCATGCTACTGTTCTTTTTTGTCCCTAATTGAGTTAGGAATCAAAATGCCTCGTCAAAACCTATTTCTTTGAGCAAGTTCACGTTGTTTATGGCCATTCATCAGTGGGTTCATAGTTTGAAGCTTAGAACGTGTGAGTGGTGTGCAAGTCAAGGTGATAATGGCGGGGCTACTTGCAGCGTGTGACAAAGATGGGAACAGCTGTTTTATGGAGAGGATTTGGGCATTCCCGAGAAGCTTAGCGAGAAGATAGCTTAGTTTAATGAAGCTAATCACTCTACGTGGCATACTAGTCATATTAAAATACTCGAGTCATGCCGTAACATCGAAGCTTGCGCTTTCCTTCCTTCTTTTAGAATTGCATTATAACACCTCTCAGGATGCACGCGTCAGGCAAAGAAATCGTTTGCCATCCACGCCAAGAAGAAGGCCTTCTACTTCGAGTAAGTTCATCTTCCTGCTAGGAAGAGAACAAATCCAATGGATTGTTCCTTGCCATTTTTAGCTGGGCATGTCAACACCTTCCCTTTCGAGGGAATCACGGGGTGGTGGTGGTCTCAGTGAGGATAAAGCGGCCGCTGCTCAGGCTGAGCTTTCCCCCTTTATGTCTTCTCATAGCTTTTCTTGTGGCTTTTTGGCCGCTGTTGTGCTTGGTTTTTGTGGTCTCGGTGTTCATTAGGATTCCCCCTCAAACCAGCAGCAGCAGTAGGCTTTTTTCACTGGATGGCTGTGTTGATGATAGTGGCATCACTTGATCTTCTTCCTCTTCTTCTTTCTGGAATGTTAGTTCAGTATAATATAAGACTCTTTGCCATGGTTTTCAGCTTCGTGGCTTTGCTCATCGAACAGATTCAAGTGTTTCAACATGGAGGAATCCAGAAAGCATGCAAGCCATGGAGCAGCCTTGTTCTCAAGACAGTCACTCTCCTACAAGGTGCTACTATCCACTTGGCTCTTTCAGTTCATCCCATTAAAAGACTCCATCTAAATTCATGTGATCTGCTTGGGGAATCATGATGCAGTGGATGGAGTCATAAACTTCATTGAGATCCAGTGCTGATCATCTATGTAAGAACATGGTCTTTCTACATATTGCAGGATGAGAGAATGCAGACAAAAAGTCAAAATAGAGGTATTGAGTTGTGCAAAGGGCAGACACAGTTATCAACATATCATTATCCTTTGGAGGTCCCTAAGAGTCCTCATCAGGCTTTGGAGTTCCTCTCCAGAACATGGAGCCCATCTTCCTCTGACTTCTTTCAAATACTCTCACCCAGTGTGAGTAAACAGGCACCAATCTACAGTCAAGTCTGTTGTCTTCTCATCACTAGAAATCCCAGTGTCCAATGTAACTCAAGATAACCGAGGAGGTGGCCAAGAAGTGGTGCCAAGGGATCATGGAAGAAAACCCATTAGTTTTAGCAACTTGCAGTGATATCTTCCAAATAGTACTCAGTTGCATTTAATTGAATTGTTTTCGATCCTCTAGGAATACTGTCAACGCTGTGGAAGACAGTGATCCATTCATGTTGTTCACACAACCACCACAATATTATCTATTAACATTTAGCAGATGATGCAACAAGTTTTCATGTGTTTGTGAGTTTAATGATCATGTCATTCATATGATGCAGAACCTATTACCAAGCCTCAAGGACAGGAGTGCAGAGGTAGATGAGCATGAAGCAGAGAAGAACCGTACCGATTTCGCCGGAGATACCAAAACAAGAATGGATCAAATCTTGGTATGTGTCATCTGTCTGCCTTTTGATGCAGCCAACCTCAATTGAAGGCTCTGTTCTTTGCATGATCCTTGCAGACATTGCTCTCGAGTGGAAAATTGGCACAATCTGCACCTCAGAAGCACAAGTCTTTACATGGTGGCTGGGTAAGTCATTCTGAAGCAAAGACATCATGAACTTGCAGCTCATGTTCATCTTAACTCGAAATCCACAGATAGATGTAGGCCAGATGAAGGCATGGCTGGGAGGGGAAATCCTTAGCAGCTTTTCCAAAGGATGCAGAAAGAGGAGGAAGGAAGAATTGCGACTCCACACAGCTCAAGTCCATGCAGCCCTCTCTGTGGCAAGGCTGGCTGCGGCCATTGCAGGCATTGTAGGAAACTGTTACTTGGAACCGGTCAACTCGAAAGCCATGAGCTTAGATCACCAAGGAGGGGAGCTGGACAACAGGATGAACACGGTGGTAGCCTCTGCTGCGGCCTTGGTCGCGACAGTGTGCGCCGAAGCTGCTGAGTCTGTGGGCGCAAACAGAATGCAGGTTGCATCTGCCATTAGAACAGGCCTTGCAACTCGGAGTTCAGCTGATCTAGTGACTCTCACTGCAACTGCTGCAACATGTAATGCACTGCGATTCTCAGTTCGTAGAACAGTTCTTCCATCTACTAAAAGATGATGACAGAATTCTATCTACAGTCTTCCAAATCTTTGTTCTTTGCACATCAAATAAAGAATGCACCCTTTGTGGTAATTGCTACAGGTTTGAGAGGAGCTGCGACGCTTGAGCTGAGAGCAGCAGCTTGCAGACAGATTTCAGAGGACCAGAGTACACTGGCAAGAGGTGCTGAACTCCCCATTCAAACACCTGATGGTAATATCCTCTTAAATCTCATAAACTCTATTGCACAGATGCGAGTTTTCTGGCTGCTGTTGATCCATTAATGTACTACAACAACGATGTAATACATGCATGCAGGGAAGATTCAACTCAGAATGGTGAGGATTTATGTCAAGCATGATAGGCTTGCACTGAGGTTGGTAAAGAAGCATATCCGAGGAGTGATTAGCACCTACAAAGAATGTAAGACCATGTACTTACTTGATTTGCAAATGGAATTCCATTGGAGTTTTGAACTAGTTGGTTAAAGTAATCTGCAATCAACCCTCTAAGTTTAATGTGAGCTTAAAATAATATGCTACCAGAAGATACTGTGACTGAGATTGCATTACTATCTTTCATATGGTTCTTGATGCAAATCTTTGTCAAGACTGGCATTGTTAACTTAGTTTCTAAAATTTACTTCTCAGTTAGGGTTTTTGATGCAATGGAGGATCCAAAAGAAGGTGGCTTCTCCAAGAATGGTCATAGCTGCTACTTGATAACACTCGCAACCACTGGGGGAACCATTCAGCTGCTGTTTGAGGACCACAAGCGATACATAATGTGGAAGTCCAGTATCTCTCACCTCTTATGTGACTGTTTAGAAACCACAACAAGATTTTGAATCATCTGCATGCCAAAGTGCCTCCAGGGTTCTTGCTTTTCCATGATGAACAGAGACATGTAGTAATATGTTTTTCTTTATTTAGCTTTTATGCCAATTCCTGATGAAGCCACCTTCTATGAAAAAGGTAGCATCCTTTACACATGCTCAGAGGCAAAGGTGAGATTCGATCCTACGATAAACTATCAAGGTCTGCTAATTAAGCTAGCTGCTACCTTAAAAATGTATGAGTTGAGATTTCAAACTCCCAACCTTTGGTAAAAGGATCCGGTACACCACCATTAGATCAATGTTTAAGGAGTGAAAAATGTGTCAACTGAAATTTTTATCACCATCACCTTTGGTACGAGTATGATATACCACCATCAAACCAATGTTTAAGATATCACATAAGCTCTTATTATACATCCTTTGATGCAACTTCTAAATCTTTGAGAAAGTTTCAAAGGAATAGATTGCATGAAACTGTAAGTTGCCATCTATGTGCTTCATTAGCTAACCAATTTGCAGCAGCATTAATTGATTGATTGATATTTGTTTGAAGTCTGTTTTGAAACCAATTGTCATAATTCGGTTTGACGTATCTATAAACCTAATACAAAATTCCAAATCTTCTTTGTCCAAAATATCTGAACCCTAACTATAAAGATATCAAATTTAATGTTATCTTTTGTCTAGAACTCTTACCATTGTAAATTTGACAGGGTCCATAGTCAATGACTTTCCTTCATTCGTTGATGCAGAATGTACACTATAAGTCAGAATAGAAGTTTCATGTAAGACTGGTACCTTGTGATGCTTCTAGTTTCCATATCCCATTCATGTCTTGTGCCTCCACTGTTGCTCGGGAGCTGGGTGTATTCCTGCCTAACTCTCCTGACAACATGAACTCAGAACCCAAGACCAAGTTGAACTCTAAAAGCCTGCACTCATGCTTATTCTTATATGCTTAGCATCACAACACAGGTCACAAGATACAGAAACAGGTGGCGTGTTCCCTGGTATGACCTTTAAGATGTGCTTCCTCCTTCCTGCCCCATCTGTGAGATCAAGATTTCTCAGCGATCTGAATCACAAGCGGGGAGGTACAAAAGCACTAAGCCTTTCTCCACCACTTTCTTCTTACACCAGGGACTGAGTTCTTTCTGCTGAGTCATATGTATAATGATGATATTTTGTTTATGTAATCAAGGACAACAACAATATAAATCAGCCCCCACCTCATTCTGTATGATGTCACAATCTTGCTATCTTGTAATAGCTACATAGCACAATACAAAAAATGCAAATTCTTTTTACAGCTGCCTGCAACTCTGGGCATATTACAACTCGTTATCTCAAAATCTAATTTGTTTTCCTTTTCATCTCAAAATCTAAGTTCACTGGAAGATATCATGATCGAACTATTATGATCTTAAAATCTAAGTTTACCAGAACAGTTCAGCTCATAAGAGTTCATTCATGATATGCTTTCTTAGGAAGAGCCTGTAAACTATAGCAGATAAAGCAGATCCCTGGCATTTCTAGACAAATTGTTCTTGAAGTCCAAAAAGCAAATAATTCCACTGTTCCAAGTAGACCACTACATGCAAGTGTCAATCATGGCATCCCATTCTCAATCCTAGAAGAATGTCAAAACCTAAAGCTTTTCCAGTTCAAATAAATCTGCACTATTTTCTCTATAAAAGCTTCAGCTTAACCTTCACTCCCTAACCATTGTACTTAACAACTTGTTTCCTTACTTGCTGCCTCTCCTCTTGCTTCAATGGCTCTGCCCACTCAACTGCTCTTCTTCTTACCTCTACTTCTCCAACATCCCACCAGAGCAGAGACATGCAGCGATTGCTTCACCCAATCCAGGGCAGCTTACTACCCAAATTCTGATAAAACAGGAACAGAGAGGAAGATCCAAACACCTGCATGAAACATGTTTTCTGTCGGTGTGTCATTAATTCTTTTGCTCAGATAATCTCAACTTCTCATCTGACTTAAGCTGGTTCATTTGGAGCAACACTGAATGATGGGGATGTCTTAGCATCATCAAGTCTTTACAGGAATGGTGTGGGTTGTGGAGCATGCTATCAGGTTAGTGAAATCACGACCATTACTTCATTCACTCATGTTGATTGCATCGTCTTTGTCACTCTACCATCTTACAATTTTTCATTAGGTGAGATGTACTGATGCCAAGTACTGCTCCAACGATGGTGTCATGATCATAATCACAGACGCAGGAGTAAGCGGCAATATCGAGTTCATTCTCAGTCAGCATGCCTTTGCAAGGATGGGCCAGAATGCTGATTTAGGTGCATCCCTTCTATCTCTTGGTGCGGTCGGCATTGAGTACCGGAGGTGTGTGTGCTGTTACTGAGCATTGCCATGATAGCTGAATCAACTATAGCAGCAAAATATAGTCCATCTATATTGTTCAAACCTCAAATTCTACAAAGAATATGAACATATTTGTTAAATTTGATGGCATTTCAGGGTGTCCTGCAGCTATCCAAGCAAGAACATCACCTTCAAGATTGATCAGAGCAGCAACCATCCATCCTACTTTGCCTTCCAAATCTGGGATCAGCAAGGAAACAAGGATGTAACTGCTGTTCAGTTGTGTGAGGTACAGACTAATTAAGCATATAATACACACATGAAGAAACACATCACACTAGCTTAACTGTATGCTACAACTACTAACTCGATGATAACTTTGGATCTTACTACTGCAGACAGAGAACTTGACATGCAAGCTGTTGGAAAGGAGCCATGGAGCAGTGCGGGCAGTAGTATCTCCACCAAGTGGGCCTCTCTCTGTAAGGATTTTACAAAGTGGAGGTGATGATAGAGATGAGACATGGGTTGTGCCTCCCAACAACATACCACAGAACTGGACTTCAGGGGCTATATATGATTCTGGAATACAAGTGTAGTTGTGGTAGTAATAGCTACATGCTTTTCATATTTCTGTGACATTTTTTACCAGTCAATAGAATCAACAACCCATTCAACAAGTTTAAATATATTGTTCTGTTCAAAGAGAAATCATATCCAGAATTACTTTACTTGCATGACAAACTCAAATAGTTGAATAAGGAACATGAAAAACTGGTTGTGGTTTATCACATATTGAACAATATCACTGTGTGGGAAGACAACAAAAACATATAGTAAAGAGCTTCTCCACCAGTGATTAGAATGTCAAAGAAACAGGAAAAGATATTTAGTAAACCGGAATAAGAGATCGAGTCTGGATTTTCATTAGAAACTGATCAAAAACTTGTGTAAAGTCAACATCCCCAACAGTTGACCTTTCCCATATGGTCATCCTTCAAATAACAAAAAATGGCTTACTTTAGAACTTACCAACATATAATAAGATCACATATGACGATAAATAGCGAAAGAAAAAACCAAAATAATAAATTGCTAGATGCAACGCAATGATCGATGCGTCCAAGACCCCCTTTTTTTGTTCTCCTTATAATATCAAAGAACATTGCTGAAAAGAAGTCGTAATATGAGAGTTCACGGAGGATGATCAGAACATTTCGGGATATCACGAGCAACATCATGGATAGATGTCAGTGGATTGACAGACCATGAATTTTCACATCACCTCATTCCCCCGAACCAACAAACTCATCAAAATCGGAGAGGAATCTGAAGAAAATAATAATAAAACAAATTAAAATAAATAAAATGACGGCTCGGAACTTCTTAGAGGGTTTCTGTCGCCGTCAGCGATGGACGGATCCATCTCCGGCAGATAGTTTGGGTTTCTTCATAGCCAAAATATTAACGATCTAGAAAAGAAGACGAAAGAAGAGGAACGGATGCGGAAAGAGGTCGGCGCACATGCGAGGAGCGTAATCCAATCGTGGTTATATAGCGGAGAAAGAAGAGGAAGAGAAACCCTAGATTTTTGTTATCTACCTACGTCTATCGGAACCGTCGATTCTAGAAAGATCTTGAGCAACCGCCGCCGCCGCCATGTTGGGTCTCTGCTGAAAACGAACCCAACCCATTTCGTGTTGACTTTATCTTTTATTTCCTTTTTCTTTTAATAACAAGAGCTACTTTCCCATCGATCCATTAATTGTTATAAAATAGACTCTTACAATAGTGAAGTATCTCCAACCTCAAGATCTTGTTCTTGATAATTTGGATAGTTCATCATGCTTAATACTAGTTCAACTAAAATATCACTTGTTAAGATTCAACTAGATATATTTGAACCCCAAGTTAATGATAGTAAATCCACTTTAATTATCTAAAATAACTCAATTAGTTCTCATATCTGACACAGGTATAGAGACTTGTCATTAGATTGTGACAGACCTTGTTTAGGTCAGGTAGGAACTTGGAACCAAAATACACATGGTGGCCATTAGGAGTTTAATCCTGGGCATGTCCACAGACCAAATGGCTAAACTACAGTTTGCAAAGTTCCTTGCTTCAGTTGCAGTCTTCATTCACTGGAAAACAAACAGAGACATTGTGCAACAACGCTACTTTACATGAAACAACTTCTACCTGTAGGATGATCCAAGAGGGACCCTGCATGCAGCAATTGCCTCAAAACAGAAAAAAGGAAAGAAGGTATAAACACAGTTTCCTCAGATGCATCAAGAAATCAGCAAGGAACTTGAAAGGAGTTTTTGGTTACCGCAAGGGGGTTTGAGGTGCTTGGAAATGGTTCAGTGACTCTCATGATGGCTTAGGCCTTCTCCATTATTAGAGGAGAAAACTCCATGATCAGAAGAAGAATTGGCCACTGCAGTGTTTTCCGAGTCTGCGTGTTTTTGCTCCTCTGGTTGCTGACTGGTTGGAAACACATACTTGAGCTGAGAATTTTCCATGTGAGACAGCAACTGAGTCACAGTCTTCAGCTGAGGAGCACTGTGGACCAAACATTTGAAGAAAACCAACCATATATAAGCGAACAGTGCCTACAATACCTAAATTACATAATTGTCGCATTTGTCATAGATATCAGCAGATCATAATAAGATAGAACATTAACAATCAAGTAGGAAACTACGTGAATAGTCCAAAAAATACGGCATCTCAAAACTTAAAGAATAGTAACAATAAATAAAATGGGAAGCAAACACATGCTGTCTGTGAGGCAATAAGGGAGAAGTTCCAGCTTTGGTGGATCTCATGCAATCATTGAAATCTAAGACAATTTCAAGTGTAATGCTTTTTCAGAAAACCTCTTAATTGACTGAAACATGACTAACTCATGCAATAATGAGCTCAAATTGGACACAGTCATGCAGCTTACTTGTGATCAGATGGTTGGATATGCTGAGTCAAGCACTATCATGTAAGATGAAAATACACCAGCAAAAACTGATAACTTTTGCAGACGGATCAGACACACGTTGGCTAGTTTGAGCCAGAGCACTGATGGGTTTTGAACTTGTAGACTGCATCTTGTACATTGATTGATAAATGTCATCTCCAAGATTATGTTATTTGAAGTTTTAGAAAAATCTGAAACTAGATAATCTCTTTGTACTCAGCTTTCATTTTCAATAATTTCAAAACCATTTTCTCCCTGGCATGAACCTACAAATAATGTTGACATTTAAGTAATGCAAAGAACATTTCAAATGCTTTAACACAGGAAAGTCAGAATTTCTGCTTGGACAAGTGACACTACAAGAGCCTTCCTAAATTCACCAGCATATTCCTAACAACAGGAAAGACCTTGAGGGTATACTGTAGAGTTGTTAATAAAAGAAGCCTGACCTATGTAAGCTGCTTTCCATATATGCATCCAAGGAAGATATAACCCGTGGTAGTTGGTCCAGAACCTATCGACTCAAACACAAAAGCCAAAATATGAGTGGCTTCCAAATTAAACTAATCCATAATTACTTCATAACTGAGTAGCAACCTACTTGCCCAGTGTTCTTGATGGTAGATACTTTGGCAAATAGATTCTTAGGAAGCTTTATTAACTCAGCCTGCAAGAACAAGGAAAAACAAGGAGTATATAACAGCTCAACAAAAAATGCACAAACAAACATAGTTTCACTTTAAGATTCAGCGCTTCTGAAAAATAACAACTTCATTTTTTTCTTGATAATGTTTACCAATTTCAATGGACACAAAGGAAGACACTGTGATCTGAAAGTTCAAACATCCTTTCTGTAATCAAATAGCAATTGGACCAAAAAATAGTCATCATGCCAGGCTCAAATTCTAACAAAAAATAGATGTGCAGAAGAAATTACTAAATATACAGTGCATAATCGACATATGTTGCCACATGCTGGGTGCACAAATTGCATATTTTGGTTGCACAAACGATAAGCATTAGCTGCATAAACAATGTAACTAGTTAGCTGATTACATAGATCAACAAGAATAAGAGTTACAATTCATGGCTTTATACTATTCGGTGTAATCTTAGAAACCAAATCATGCATATCTAATCACTTTGCCACACTGAGTTCTATTGTCACAAGGGATGTCATCTACATGAAGATTTTGAGTTGATTGCTGACTTCATTTTACCTAATTACATATCAGATCTTATTATGGAACTAAGATTACAACAACAATTGGCTATCCTCTGTTTATTATGAGGAGCTAATGACTCAACAGCAAGAAGGGTAAAAAACTGTAACATCCCTGATTAGTCCCACATCGAAAGTGGGCAAGACTAAGATTGACTTATAAGGGTCTGATGAGTGTACTACTATCAACTTCAGCTTAAGCATTTTGGTCAGTGGTTTAGACCAAACGAAATTGATAGGCCAGTTAGCCCATCAGGCTCGGGTCATTATAAAAACGCTGTTGTAAAATGTTTATTATGTTAATTCCTCTATTTCAGTTCTTCTTGTTTTCATTGTCCTTAATTGATTGCAGCACCACATGTTCACATGTTAGCCTTTATATGTACTGCATCAACACCATACAATTCTAGTATGTCAGCATACATATTGAGGGAACCAAAGAACTAAAAGTATGCACATTTAAAGAAATTTTAGCAGGCACTAATAGAAAAGACCATAAAATAGTTCACATTTATAGAGAGGAGAAGCATGACACTCATTGCTCGAAATCAAGAATTTGCAGCTATCAGTTTGAAAGAGAAGTGACCCTTATAATTTAGGTAACAAGCTAAGGGCTTACATAGGCTGGTAATCATGCTTAATTTATGGTTCTGTATGTCTTAGAAATATGGTACCTCTCTTTTTCTTGAAGCCAAATTTGTGTTTCTTAGTTTATTTTACCTGTTTCCTTTTTTTTCCCTGTAGGACCTTCACAACATCATGACAATATAGAAGTGCTGATCAACTCCTAATTAAACCAATGATGTCATTACAAGAATTTCACAATCCAAGATGTATCTAGATTCATGCTCATGTACCAAGACTTTTTTAAGGATCCTCAAATTATCTAGTAACAGAACTCAATGGTTGGAAAGGATCCATGTAGCCAACCCCCAGTATTCGGAAAAAATGGGTTGCAACTGTTGTCGTGAAATGTAATCCCACATAATTGCGGACCAACCCACCAAGTGACCTTCCTTGTCCACCTAGGGCTTTGAAATGCTTCTACTTGCTTTTCCTAAAAGGTCTCTGATCCCCTGCAATAAATTTCATATGGAAACATGATTTCATCTATAGAATCTCAGTCGCATGATATGCACAGAAGGACGATCAGGTGTTGGGGCGTTAGTCTTAGAAAGAAGAAAATTATAGGAGTCCATCAGACGTGGATCTCATCTCCGAGTTTTCAAGATCGAATTTTTAGAACAGGTGAGATCGTTGGAACATAAAGAGAAGAAGAAAGTAGTCAAGTTCAAGATAAATTAACAGAGAGTGGAGAACAAGAACGGAAGAGGGAAGCCCTCCAAACCTGGGAAGGAGAGGATTCCTGCATGAGGTGAAGAAGATTGGACGTCGACTGCACTGCCTGGCTTATCCGATCCGCCACGGTCGCCTTCGCGCTCCCTTCCCGACTCACCCCTCCTCCTCCTCCTCCTCCTCCTCCGCCGCCGCTACCGCTAGCTGCCATCTCCCTCCCTCCCACCTCACCGGTGGTGGTAGGTGCTTTACACAAACGCCCCGAGAACGAGAAACGCGAGAAACGTCGTGGTGAAACGGCAAACTTGGAGAGTCATCCGATTTGCTTATTGAAGGAACCCGGGCCCGTCAGATGAAACTTTAACGGCCACCACGCGTCGATCACGTAATCAACCCCTCAAAAGATATTTTATATATATATATATGTGTGTGTGTGTGTGTGTGTGTGTGTGTGTGTGAGAGAGAGAGAGAGAGAGAGGAGGCGGGGCGGTGGTTTTGGGGTTTGGGATTCTGGATGCGGTCGATGCTGCCTTACCCCGTGAAGACGCTGCGAAAGGAACCAATCAAGCCCTCGTGTGATGGAACCCTACTTTCCCTCAGGTCCACGACCGCCTTCCTTTTCTGTTAATTCTTGATTTGGGCTGGTTTTGATTTCTTCTTCTGTCAATCGTCGATGATCTCGTTCTCTCCGATGGTTTTGACAGTCATATATATGAGTCTTAAGCTGTGATTTAGAAGGAAAGTGAGGTAATCTGGGAAGCATAATGGATCTGGGTTGAACAACCTAGTTGCACATATTGGTAGTATGTTAGCCTCATGTAATTTGCTTTTCTAATGCCACATAACTTTGACCTCCATCTGATCCTCATACACAGTTATTTACATAATAAAGCAAAATACACATATGGTGAGATCAGCCACCTTAGTTGCTCGGTTCCTGTTTGCAATTTTTCTCATTTAATAACATTACGCCAATGAATCTCATCGAAAGTCAACAATACATTTGCTATAGGATGTGTTATTGTTTAATATCTTCTATCGCACCTGAGGATTGATGTGGAAACCGGATTATATCATATGCACAGATAATTAAGTTAGTAACAAGCATCCTTTTTCTTTTCTATTACATGAGAAGGTGCCATATTTATATAAATATTTCTTGTTTTTTGTTTGTTAATAAAGATGTTGCACTATCTTACCTTGAACCGACCCCAAGCGATTAGTTACCACACCTTGCCAGCAGAAATGCCTAAATTTAAATTCTGATAGGAATACCTTAATCAAGGATATATATGTGACTGAGAAATTTGCAAATGCATTGATTAAAGAAGCAAAAAGAAAAGAATATACTTTTACATTTTGCATGGTCAAATATGCAGTCTCTGGCTTTTTCTGGGTGTTACCTTCTTACTTTTATTAAATCCTGCCTTCTAATCAATTTTTGTATAAACTTTAACTTGTTTTTTTCCCTTTTCTTCTGTAGATTTGCAATTTCTGCATATGCTAGATTCTCTTTGAGATACAAAGGTACCAAGAAGAAATTCTTGTTTATTCTCTTGCTCAATGAACTACTGAATTCTGTTGGTGTTTTGAGCATTGCCCTTATTAGTCCCTAATCTGAGCATGTAGGCTAGCTGCAGTAGGCACTGTATCTATGTTTTACCAATTATGATATTTTCTTCCTTTAATTTAATTTATAGGTATGAGAATACAGGATTTACTGTTAATGGTGTAAAGTATGAGCGCAGCTTGCTTATTGTGGAGAATAAACTAATGATATGGCACCAAAAACATTTTCTGAGATAGCTACTGAAAGGTTGGTACAAGACTTGCTTATAACTTGATAATGCACATATATAAGTTGTCATGTAAAATCCTTGTGTTTTGAGTAAGAAATTATGGTGGACCCTTTCCCCCTCACTTGTTAATAATTAGCTGTAACTTGTTTTGTTTAGTTGTTCAAACGTATGAACTTCTTTCATGTGAATCCACTAACACAATCCTTCTCTGGCATAAAGTTCAGTTTATTGGTGTTCAAAATTCCAAGGCAAGTTCCAGGTATATCTTATACAGGCACTTCACTGTACATGTAGTCTTGTAACATACTGGCTGTCACGAATGCTACATGCTACCATAGTTACAAAATTCACGTGAACCATCTTATCTCTTGTATATTTGTCTTGGTATCTTTTTGGTTTTATTGAAGGAGGTGACTTAATTTCTACATTGTTATTCATTTCACTTTTAGAGCCCGAGCTGGATGAATTGTGTTCTCTGCTTATTAGAAAAATCTGGATGTTACGTATGTAATATATGGCTTTTCTCATTAGATGAGATTTTATGCTACAAGAATCCATGAATCTATATCTTCCTTGATGTGAACAAACAGGTCAGGGTAAAATATTTTTAAAGTCTTGCTACATCCTCTGGAGATTTTTGAAATTTTTTTCTTGTTTTCTTGTTTTTCCTGGGATTCTTGTTGGACTGAGGGTTGAGGATTGTTTTCGTGAGTAGATGTCCTGTGGCCTACTTTGCTACATTTGAAGCAAACTACATGGAGTTTCTCAAATGCTATAGATTTAAAAAATTGAGTGTTCTTCACATGTATCCAGATCCCCCCGAGAGACTGGCAGGGTTAAATATAGGAGGACACATATCTGGGCAAACTTGCCCCTCGCTCTAGTAAGGATTACTTGATTAATTTTTAGACATTTTCCTATCTGGGACGCTATCTGAGTGAGAAAATTTGGGCACATCAGCTCTAATGGGAGGCCCAGTAGTTGCAACCAAGTAGGTATCGTGTCTATCCTCTCCAAGAGAGGTTATAAATTTGGTCTCCAGGGGATTAGAGTACGAGGCTGCCACCTAACGGACCATGGACCACCAACTAGGACACGGGGCATTTCCTCAACCGAATTAAATTGAAAACCAAAGAAACCTCCAGCGACGTCAACTGCTTGGCAACCCGCCGACAGTCCCTAAAGTTTGGGGAGAAGAGTTTTTAGGAGCTCTAAGGGAGGGATCTTACCCAGAAACTTGTCATATAGGCTTGTTTGCCAATTTTCATATGCAAAGGCATCTTCCTTCGGATCGAGCTCTACCTTGAGTCTCATTCTTCTCTGGATTCAGTGGAGCTTATCCTCCATTGTTGGATCTAGCTGTCATTCTCCTACTCCAGTAGCTTTTTTAAAGAGATACGCCCATGAGGTTGACACAGTTGAGGATTTTGGTGGACTATGACTCCCTAACCTCCCCCCTGTGGGGAGGTGGTATCCTGGTTCTCTTGATCCTGCTCAGGGGGAAGCCGAGGCAGTAGGGAATCAGGTGGTTCTGATGGAATCGGAAGTGGGGCTTCCAAGAGAGTGTTGCAAGAGGGAACAATCGGCAAAGCTTCTTACTCTAGAAACTTAGAGAGAGGAGTATACCCAGAATGGTTGAGGACAGGATGAGTTAATTAAATTAGAGTATTTTATGCAGGGTTCAATGAGTGAGAGTTTGGATGTTATCATTTGTTGTTTGTTATCGTTTTGCTGCACAACTTAATCCATGTACTAATTGAAGAACACTATTGCCAATAGGATTTTATTTGTTATAGATGTTGTAGAATAACCAAATAACTATCAAGGAAAAAAAAAATATGATGTCTTTCAGATGTAATAGTACATTGTTATAGCTGTAGCAGGAGTCATTAGATAATATTTCGTTAAGGCTATTCAGTAATTTTCCTTTTTTGATCAATATGTTAATATAGGTGCAGTTGTTTGCTATCTACCTGCTCATGAAGTAAGAAGTCAGGCACATTCGTTAATAATTTCATATGTTAATTTCTGCATCCGAGTGACATGAACTGGCATCTATTATCATGGTTATGCCACTAATGGATGATAGTGGTTGTGCAGGTCAATCTTTTCTGTACTGAGATTCTCTCCTAGCTTGATGATGAGCCTTCTTTGCCTTTGCAAATGAAGACAGTCGTGTTGCGATTGGCGAACAAAGCATACGATCTCCAGTCACTCGGAAGTTGGTTTCATTCGGAGTGTTTGAAGATGATCTGGTCAATCTTTTTTGTACTGAGTTTTTCTTCTAGTTTGAAGATGAGCCTTCTTTGCCTTGGCAAATGAGGACAGTCATGTTGCAATTGGCGAAGCATACGTTCTCCATTGACTGCCAAGCTGGTTTCATTCTCGGGTGTTTACTTCAATCAAATGTTTCTCCTCTCGTTGTCATCTTTATACACGCTTGAACCCATTTAATTTTTGACTACCTTTGATTGCAATCTGTATTATTATGTCTTAAAAAAGCTGTTGAAATGATGGGAAAAATAATTATGATTCATATAACTAATGATACTTATGTGGGTTAATTATAGATTATTTTTTATAGTTATACGTCTTTAGTATCTTGATCTTTAGGTTTAAAAAAATTATATTATAATTTTTATAATTATAAAAGTAAAATATCTAGTTTTATTTATTTTAACGGTATTGATTTAATTAAAATTATAGATAAAAATATAATTTTAATGTCTCAGTGATAATTACATTTGTGTCGATACAAATGTATTATGGCATCGTCTTTGCTCATATTGTTATCGACGTTGATATAGATGCAGAGTAGTGTTGTCTTTCCTTGCATCATTGTTCACATTGATGTAAATGTAAAACATCGATACAAATGCAAAATATATTGATTTTTTTTTTTTTTTTTTCACAATTGATCTCTCTTCTCATCTACAACAGTCATCAACCCCAACGATATCGTTGTTCACTATTACAAAAAATATAATTAGGATATTAAAATTAATTTTTTATTCATCATTTTCATATTTTCATTAATAAATTAATGATATTAAGATAAATATAGTTAGATATTTTATTTTTATAATTATAGAGATTAAGTATAAATTTTTTAAGTTTAAGAATTAAAATACTAAAAATGTCTAAAAGTTTACCTATATATATTGCGGCATCATGATCAGCTCCATCAGGATTTGATCCGATGGACGGGATAAGCTCGAGCGACCACAAGGTTGATAGCCGCCCACAGCCGTCCGTGCGCGCTGCCGCTATCCTTCTGTGGGTCGACTAACCGTGTCCCTTTAACTCCTCGTCCTGTCCAATGAGTCCGGGTCGTTCCGGTCCGAGTTGAACCGGATCGAGGTCCGCAATGGCGGCCTCGTAATTAGCTAGGCAGAGGAGGGCAAATTGGAAGGAGAGAAGGGTCGGGGACTACCGCGGTCAAGCACAAATTGGTGGCAGATATCTGAGTAACATTATGCAGCAAGAGGGGACTGTGAAGAGAATACAGAAGTAGAGGCGGGGAGAAGCGAGAGAGGAAGGGAACGGATCGTCAAAGAATAGCGACGCCGATGCAGCGGAGTGGGTGTTGATCTTCGCGAGGAAGAATAAGAATCCCCTTTGTTTCTTTCTCTCGGACGCGGAGACGAGGAATGCGAAGGACGGAAGCCGGACAGGTTGAAGAATAACGGAAGGGAAAAGGATAGGAAAGGAGGAAGGAGAGAAAGAGGCGGTTGATCTCCGACACTTAGGTCCAGGTATTGATACCCTAGCTTGTGATCTAGGCATGCTTTGCTTAGGTCATCTTGCGACTCGAATATGAAGGATTGCCGTGGTGGCGATAATGGCCGCCGAAATGAACCGCCGTGGTGGGGATTTCGCTTCGTTGAATCGTGTCTTTCGAACTAAGGAACAGATATTTTGGCATGTATGCTGTGTTTTTGGTATTTGAACACAGTTCACAAAGGCCTGGATCGTGGATCTGTGTGGGTGTCGACAGGATCCTCGAAGGAACACTGTAATAAGTATACTCGTGTTGGGTTTCTCGGTTTGGGTCGTCTATCTTGGAAGAAACGAAGGGATTTGCTCACTGCAACCTGCCTCTTGGTGGACTTGCTGCTTGCGTCGTAGTGCTCTTCCCTAGGGATGGCCGTCTCAGGTCTAAGCGCAGGGAAATGTGCTGTTTTCTCTTCTGTAGGGCTGTCTTGGCTCCCATAGAAGATTTGACTGACTGAGGAGAATGGCACTTTTGCTTCTTCTCAGGGTGCCTGTTTACTAGGATTTTAGATTATATTATATTTCACAGGGTTCTTGATTCTTGTTACTCCTACCAGAGAATTGTTTCTCTAAGATTACTATGCTTGAGATGTGTTATCCGGGGTCATATTCATCTTGCTTCAGAGGATCTTTGCTGCACTTGTACTTCTGACTGTGCTGGCCTGGAATTATTTCTTATTCGCTGAATGAATGGGAATTAATTAAAATAGGGAATCACCAGACTTCTGTGTATTGTAGCCATGCAGACTATGTTTTCTTTACCATTGGGTTTTTTAATATGGAAAATTTTGACCTAAACATTTTATATAGCAGAAGCAACTGCCTTATTTACTGAGTGGATGATGGAGATTAGCAATTGTTATGAAGCAGAATAATCACCATCCAAAGGCTAGTTATAGAGGAACAGAACCCTTGCTACCTTCTTTTTCTTGCATGTGCTTTTTTTCTAACTGTTACAGCAGGAGTAATTTTAGATTTTTGTATTTTTTTAATTGTTGAAAGTTGAATATTTTAGTTTGGTTCACAGTTTAACTTTCTCTTAAGATTTGATCTTGACTACAGTAGGAGGTACATAAATGTCTGTAATGTTTGTTAGTGTGCTATACAAGAAGTCCTACCACCAAGTTTGGCAATTTCTGTGTATTTTTTGTGGGTTGGGATATTATTTAATTTGTATCACTTAATATGGTCTCTTGATATACAAGTTTTAATACTCTTTCTTTCTGTTTTCTTTTGGTACTCCAGAGATCTTCCACAGTGGCTCTGGACCTGCAAGTTGATCATTATTTCTTTTGGCCAGAAAGATGATGAGGGATTCGAGTCAATGGTTGGTCTTATCTCTTGGACCACTCTAGTTCTGTAAATGTTTTTGTTATTCTTTAATGTTTTTCACTGCAAATCATTCCTAATAAGTGGTCTTTACCTTGCAGGTTCATCTGTGTACCTTTTATGGAGGTTGTGCCTCAAAAATTTTAAACCATCGATGATTAAAGTGCCGCATGAGTTGTGATTGCAAATGTGCAGTTGATGGTTGTGGAGCTTTCTCAGAGAATACAGAGTAACATGGGACTTCAACTTCCAAGACCAATAGATCCTCACTTGAAGTGGAAAACAACTGGTAAGGGCAGGCAAAGAGGTGCAAGACGAGCTAGAACTTCATATGCTTGGGCCAATCAGAAAAACCGTATGGTCAATAATTTCAGGAGTGAGGGTATGATGCATAAGGGTCCGAAGAGAGCAGGAGATATTTCTGTCTCTGAGTCTGAGAAGGTTTTGCTTGTGATAACTAAACTACACTAGAGTACCCCCTCAATCAGACCTCTTCTGTAGCTTATTAGTAATGATCCTGTTCTCTGTTTGCAGGTTGGTGTCAGCATTCTTGGACGACGCTTCAGTGACTCCCTCAGTATTGTTCCCATAAAGAAAAGGAAAATTCTTTTAGTTAGTTCTCCATCATCTACATTGCAGTCTACTTATTCAGATGATTCTGATCACTTACTAGAAAGCCAGCTTGCTTTTTATCTGGAAACTTTAGCATATGACAAAAATCATAACAAAAGAAATGTTGCTGATAAGTTGACTATTTTGGATGACATTAATGAAGAGGCCGGTGATGTAGATTTCTCTGGCATGTCAATATTGGCCGCTGCTGCCTGCAGTAGTGAAATAGTGAGTGACACCTTAAACATTGGAGGTATTGTTTCAAACGGATATTCTTATAAAGAAGAACTTTTAGAAGGCACACAAGGTGCCCAATCACATTCCTTATATGAAGATAAAGACCGGCAATCTGAATCTACTCAAGATTTACAAGAAAATTGTAACATCCCTGTGGAAGAATGTTCAGAATTCAAACCTACCGATGATGATAATCTCCAAGGGTCAGCGAGCAAAAAGAACTTCACAGTTTCATTGCAAAATGATTCTGATAAGATAAGATCCTCTGTCTCTGATTCTAGGCTTCATTGGGACCTTAACACTGCCATGGATGCCTGGAGTAGCAATTTTGATGCAGCTGTAGTCTCCGAGCCACTTCCAACTGATCCTGTATGTGAAAATCTCAGTCACAATGAAAAGCTGGCAGATTTTGAAACTTTTCAGGATCGAGTTGGAAATGCAGAGAGCACATGCTCTACTGGACTTGGTGAAAGCTTGGAAAATGTGGCTGATCTCCCAAAGGATGACTGTGCATTGCTTAAGTCAGGGGTTTGGGAAAAACCTAATTCATGCAATAATAATTCAATGACTGATCATGATCACATAAAACGGTGCTGCTCTCTTCCTTATGGTGATTGTTTGCTCGAAGAGAATTTGGTTACTGCCTCCGTTTCTTTGGTCAACTCTTCTGAAGAAACTGAAGTTGTTTACGATCAAAGAAACAGCCTCTGTAGTACTGAAGTTGTTTCTTCAGTAGCTAGAGATATTCTTGGTTCCTTGAGGGATGCCACTTTGGTAATTGAATCTATTGATAAAGCAAAGGCTGATGCAGACACTGGCTTGATGTCAGAAACTGAAACATCATTTTGTCTTTTGCCTTGTAGTGGGAATACCAGCTCTGACTTCCATAATGATGCACATAATCCTCATCTGAATTTGGTACAATCAATCCATAAGCCAATCTCCGATGAGAAACCAAATATAGTTGCATCCAATACTGAGAGCAGCTCTGATGATCATTCTGTGGCTAATGCTGAAGTAGAACAGCTTATTCACATAAGCATCTCTCAGATTGACGAGCATAGAGTTCTGAATACTGATTTAGAGAGTGGTGATCAGTCTTCTGTCATTGCTGAGAAAGCATCTGATGTTTTGTTTGATGCAAATGCTATCAGCAATATGGTGGAAACATGTCGATCTGGTGAAATTGTACATTGTGATGACATTGATGTCACCAATGGTCTGCATGCCGAGGGATCTTCCAGAGAAGTGGATGGGAGTCCATGCCTATTAAATGGTCATCATCAGAGCAGCTTAGGGTCATTCTATCCTGATGTGTTATGTTCTATAATCACATGTGTTGGCAAATATGAACAGTCTACAACAGAGCTAAAGGTTGACAATGATAAATGTGTTGGGTCTGTGGCACCTATTTCAGTTTCAGCTGATATGACAGTGAAAGAAATTGATGTCAGTTTGGTAGATAATGCTATGAATACTCAGGAGGCAGGCAAAAGCTACATGGATTCTTGTGTAAATTATTCTGGAGAAGTTGCTTTCAATGATCATATCCATAATTATGACTCAGATGCATCTCATCTTGATGCTTGCCAGGCCAATGGAATGGAAAAAGTCGACCTTCTGGTAGATGAGGACTCTCAATTTGAGGATGGCAAATTTAGGGAATCAGTTCTACAAAGTTGGGGAGAAGATGGAGCTGAGGAAAGGGAGTCTGCACATTTGGATTATGGCTCTGACAACAGAGAGAATGCTGTCCTTGAAGCAGTTTCTTGTTTCCCTGATTCTCTTCCTTCTTCTATTGAAAACATGATGGGTAAAAGCAGGGATGTGTCAGTTGCTATTCATGATGGAGCAGCTAACATTATGAATAGTTTGTTTGTTGTTTCTCAACCTTCATTGAAGTGCTTATCCAAATCATCCTCTTTGGATTCAGGAGAAGGGAAGAAAACTTCTACAAATATCGGAAGTAAGGATTGCACAGGTCATTTGACAGTGAAGATGATTGGACAGGGTGGATTTCAAGATGGTGAGAATAACAGGTGGCCTCCAGCTAGTGTGAGAATGAAATATTCAGGATGGGATCAGTTGCCTGTAGCCTGTGTACATATTGGAGATGGCATGTTGGACACTGGGATTGGCTCTGTTAAACAATATGGTAAAGCTGGTGCTTTGGATGAATCTGGTGCTGATGAATTGGTGGGAAGATCTGGTTTGTCATTCAGGAGAGGCTTCTCATCCCGAGTTGAGAGGCCGATGTCCTCAGATGAGTCACATAGGCAAGATAGTTCTTCTGCTAGAATAACCAGGCGAGATAGTTCTTCTTCTAGAATGACCAGGTAGATTATTTCTAGCTGTTATCTTACTATTTGAATTTGTCAGTTTCTTTTAATTACAAATTTTATAAAGAATCAAATTTGTGTAGTTGATTATGTTGTGATGTTTCCAGATCTGATGATCATGGTGGTCTAAATACGAAAGTTGAAAGGAATACTGGTGCTCCTAAATCAGTTGGGACGGGCAGATCATCTCAGCATCCTCAAGGGATGGTCAGAGACATACATTGCTTTGATTCTTCCAATCATCATCGTCCCAAGTGTCCCGGTTCACCTGGTTACTGTGATGCACCTAGTGTTCTACCTGGATCAAGGAATGCGGCTGCAGCAGCTGCTGCAAAGGTGGAGAGTAATGGCTTTGTTGTTGCACATGATGGCACGATAGCTAAGGCAGGTGGTGCTGGAAATGCTGGCCTTGTGGTAAGACAATCTACCAATGCTTCATCACAAAGTAGATGGGGGTCACAAGCTGAGACAGAGCTTGCATGTGGTGTGCAGAGAAGATTCAGAAGTTTAAGGGACATGAGCCCTAACCGGCACTTCAGTGTCAGCAGGAGCCAGGCTGGTAAATATGGTCATGAAATGGCCAGGGACCGGTATCACAGACCTGTGCCTGATGACAGAATGAACTTATCACCACCTGTGCACCATTCATCTAGGAGAGACAGGAGCTTCTCTCCACACAAAGGGCCCCTTTGTCTATCTCGTTCTCGCACTGGATTTCCTTCAAGATCTAGAATCCGATCCCCTCATCTGTGGACATCCCCTAGGAGAAGTGAAATTGGGATGAAGAATGTCTTGGGTTATTCCAGGGGCAGCAGGTCTCTCAGAGCCAGAATGGAGAGAATGAGGTCACCCCATTTACGATCTAGCGTTGAGGACCCCATGGTAGGGTATGGCCCCACATCGAGAACCTTTGCTTCCCCATTGCATCATTCAAGTTGGCTTGGTGAAAGGAGGGATTCATCCAATCATCTCAGGGAGCATGATTACAGGCGGCGATCTAGAAGAAGTCCATCTACTAAAGCTTTTACAAACTCTAAGCTTGACTCGGTGCATTCACATGGAAGATCAGAGCCTAATGGTCACCATCATCATCTGCATTCTGGCAAGATCCCTGAGATCGCTGGTTTGAGTAGAGGATATAAATGTGCTGGAAGTGATGATAGAATGGGATATGGCGATAGGTATCAATCGCTCCGACCTTGGAGCCAAGAAAACACTAATAGCAATAAAAAGTTCTTCAGGTAAGAGATGGGGGTTCCACACTCATAAATCTGGACCCAAATTCTTATATCAAAGTGTGGGCCCTAGGGTATTTGGTAGGGCCCAATTTTGATCCAGCTTGGGTAGAACCTCAAATGAAAGAAAGGTCATTTTAATTATAACAGGTGTGCAAACCCTGGTACCTGCTTCAAGTCCTATGCATCAAAGGTTGTGATGCTCGCTTCTGGGCTCTAGTTCATGATCTTGCTTTAATCACATGAGATCAAAGAGATGGTGAACCCTTTAAAGTTTGTCTCCTTGGAGAGAAAGGCATCTAGTTTCAGTACTCTAGCTTGTAAAAACATTACATTGTTTTGGGCTTAAGGCACAGTCTTTTTTTCGTAATTCATTTTTGAGTGGGATTCTGGCTCACCAAATTATGATCAATTAACAAAGTTTGAATCTGTGTCCTTTGGCAGTTGGCATGCTTTTTGAACTTAGCCACAGATACCTTTTGAGCTGTCTGCTTTTGTTAGGAAATAAACTGTTTGCTTTTCAACTACTCTTCTGCTCAGGGCTTTTTGTGGAACCAATTTCAAATCAGCAACAAACAGCATTTTTTTTTTTTATTGTATAGCAAAAAGCTGCTCAAGGTATATCTTCCATGAAATTGTTTAATATGGTCAGCATAATTTTTTGACAGTCCAGCAAAAGTCTAGGAAATTGGTTAATATGATGCTTTTCTGTGTTATAGAAGTGAACTTCATATGGCACCGAGCTATGGTTCTGATCTCCGGAAACCTCTGATTTAACATGATAGATCATTCACCCAGATTTTCCACAGCAAAATTTATGATAGGCACTTCTCAAGTTCTGATGTCTTTCCTGCTTCCTACCAGGTGATGTCTGTGCATCAGTGACATAGTAGACTAAATCAGCACAATCATCTCAATGTATGCAGTATTAGAAAATCTATAAAAGAGGCTGCTACTGAACTTGTTCAAGGTAATGCTATTAAGTTGGATAGAAGTACGTGTGATGTGTTTGGAATCTCCACTTGTATGGCTATAAATCTCTCAATTTACTTGGTACCTTATTCTAGTTGTCAAAAGTTATTTCATTTAATCCCTCATATATGTATGGTGTTCAAGTGTGAGCTTAAAAAGCATTGATAACTGCAGTAGTACCTTGTTTTTCTTGATGTAATTTTTGCCTTTTGCTATCTCCACTGCAGTAGTACGTGTGATGTGTTTGGAATCTCCACTTGTATGGCTATAAATCTCTCAATTTACTTGGTACCTTATTCTAGTTGTCAAATGTTATTTCATTTAATCCCTCATATATGTATGGTGTTCAAGTGTGAGCTTAAAAAGCATTGATAACTGCAGTAGTACCTTGTTTCTCTTGATGTAATTTTTGCCTTTTGCTATCTGTATCTTTACTCTGTGACAATATTTTGGCATCCTTATTGCAACACGTTACAATATAGTTTTTGGGGGGGGCTAAATTGCTTCCTACAATTATGTATTTGTAACTTTTCTATTTGCCATTATTCTTGTTGTACCTTATCTTAAAAGGTGATATTTGTTCTTTGCTTTAGGCTTTCTTTTCTTCACCATCTGGTTAAACATCACAGCTAATTAATAATTTTCTGTAGTTGTGGTTATTCCTGATTTTTGTGTAGGTAAGCACTATTCTAAAAACCGAATAGCTTCGATAATAATGGGGTTTTTTTTCAACTGGCAGGGAATTCTTCCTTTAACTAGCTATGAATCTGATTATTTTGGGAAGCTTCACCTTGGCATGTCTGAAATGAAATATTTCTTTATGGTTGTCCTGTTTGTTATCAGATGTGCATCTTCATGTAGCTGATGTTATTTTAAATGAGTATGATATGGCACCTTTCTTGACCATCACTAGTACATATCTCCAATGCTGGTTAATGATTTAGGTTCTTCATAGTTTTGAAGTAAGTTTTAAATTTTGCAAACACTGCAATTTTAGGTTTTAAATGAGATTGAATTTAGAAATTTTCATTCGCGGAACTTGTGATGAAACAAAGATGCTTCTTTAGAGTTATAGGTTATTTTTAGAATTACAATGCATGTTATTAGACTTCATTGTGAGTGTTTTAGAGTACCTTCAAATGCTCCACGTGTAGTTTTTTGTGGTATGCATTTGTAGCTTAAAGGAGAACTAGCTGAAGGCTGGAAGAAGAAAGTGCTTATAATGGAGAAAGGAAAGAGATAAATAGTACTTGTGTTGCAGGAAACCCAGAACCACAGTGGGTAGCTGCTTCACCGAGGAAAGAAGAGAGGATAAGATGGGATGGTTGGAGGATCCTGCTGCTGCATGGTATGATTTGGTGATTCCCCAATTGTGAGTCAACATTTCTTCTCCAAGAAAACGTTAAAACAGTCAGGTTTGCTCTGATGCTAATTTTTGTCACCACTGAACTAAAATGCATAATTTGGCTATTTATGATATGGGTTAAGAGATGAAATAGATGGGTGTCCCTGACTGCATTACAAATGACCAACCAAGATATCTCGTCTTGTTATCTTTTATTAGTTTGTCTTGTATTATCAACTCTTTGTACGGATTTGTTCGTGCAACTGTGTCAACCCTTTGAATTGGGTCAGTATATTGTTAATTTTGCTTTGGAAATATATATACTACCATTGAATTGGAGTAGAAAGTTCAGAACAAACCTATGGGGTTGTTTAGCATCATATTTTGTAAGCAGTCTGTTATCAACCCTTTGGCCCTTGCCATAGATTACTTTTGATTAGGAACATTGTTCCAACTTCCATTTGTGTGATATCAATGTCCTGAGATCCTTTTTTGGTATACATATGCTTATTGCTTTTCAGAGATCATCAGCAGTTGCTCTGGATGCAAGTTCATCATTTAATCTATTCTAGTTTTTATTGCTATATAGCTTTTAGTGCTGCTTTAAGTTACCTCTTTCTATCTGGAATCTTTGATAAATGATTTGTAACAATTTTCTTTTCTGACTGCAGGGTGGTGTACATATCTGGAAGACTTCGAAATTTGTCAATCTTATGTTAAGAATGGAGAGAGCTTATGCAATTTGGAGCTTGCCGAAAGCTTGGTAAATGTGGCTGGCATTCCAAGAAATAGTCATGCAATAGTTACTAATGACGCATAAGAAAACCTGATACATTTAGTAGTAAATCTGCAGATTTGAAAGTTGATGACAACAATTATGTTGGTTTGGTGGCCCCTATTTCCATTACAGCTGTTAGTACCATGGCAAACACTATGTTGATTTGATAGATGGTACCATGGACACTGTGGCAATGGGCAAAAGCTATGTCAGTGTCAACTGTAATTTTTTGACAGCAGGTCCCCATAGCCAGAACTGAGATAATGAGGATTGATGAAAGAAAGGATTCACCCAATAGAACCCTTGCTTCCCCTTTACATGCTTAAAAATTGATTTATGAAAGAAAGGATTCACCCAATCATCATAGCGAACATGAGTTGCAAGGAAGTGTTTCGGAAGAAGCCCACTTATTGAAGTATTGCAAGGAAGACCAAAGGCTGATGACTACAATCTTCCTCCACACTCTAACAGGAATCCAGAATTTGCTGGTTTGACGGGGGGATATAAGTGTGATGGTACTTATGATAGAAGGGGACATGATGGTAGATCCATTCTGTGGGGCAATACAACATTGATAACGTTGTGAAGCACTTCAGTTAATATGTTTAGGAGGTTTGCATTTTCGTAATTCTGGACCATGCTCAGGAGCTTCATCATTCTTTCAGCAGAGAGAGAGAGAGAGCCCAAGGGGAATTCTCATTGAAAGGCTTTGTGACTGCAACATACAATTTAATTAGCCACTTGTGTGGGCTTCTAAAGAGATGCTGAACCCACTAATAGTTTTTCTTTTTCTGTTAAAAGTTGCAGACTCATATTTCCACACTATAAAAGCATTACATTGTTAGTTGAAATTTCTAATTTTTGGGATAAGTTCACATTATTTGTCCTCCATTTTGTTCTTCTATAAATTATTAGGCCCTGTTTTGTGTAGGATGTAGACCCTGTATGATCACTGAACTGTTACTAATTACTGAAATTTCAGCCTGTGCCCGTTGGTGATTGAAGTGCATTTTTAAGGGAGCCAGATACATAGTTTGAGCCATCTTTTATCAGAATTCAGTCTTTTGCTTTTTGAATGTTCTTTAACTTCATAGCTCCTTGCAAACTCTCACTGAACCAACTTCTATTGCAACTATCGGCTACTATTGTGATTGTGCCACATAAGAGCTGCATGAAGGTAATGCCTTGGAAGTTCTACTACTCAACTTTGTATATTTTGTTTTGAGACAGAATATGGTTTCAGTGTGTGATATTGCTTTTGCTCTTAACAAGTAATGCTTCTTTGCCTCATGTTAATCATCTCCATATATTCATTCTTATATCCTATGTAAAAGACTGCTACTGGACTTGTTACCAAAGCATCATCGTAGTAAATTGCATGACTGTTAGATAATACTTTATCATCTAACTTGTGTTGGTTGTGAATATCACAATGTAATTATAGGTACTTGGGGTGCTATAGTTCTTGTGTTAACCTGTACTTTGCTCAGTTTTTTGAGTGTGTGGTTTATTCCATTGCTAGATTAATAAACACTACAACTAGTAATATTTGCATTGTGGCTTGTGTAGTTTCTCCTTCGGGGCAATTTTTGCTTGATTTAGTCTTCCTTTTTAAAACTAATCCACTGGAACATTGAAATTAAATAGTAAATACTAACAAATTTATTTTCTGTTTGCATGCCCCTTTCCTAAGTACTGGAAAAAGCCTTCTATGGACGAAAGCAGTAGCTCCCACACAAATTGGTGGATCCTTTTGCTGGTTCGAGGATGCCTTCTTCCTTACATGCTAATTACTTTACATGCAGTTTTTCGTGAGTGCCTATGCTGCACGTCTTCGGTGATAAGATAAATTGATGGTCTGGATTCTTAACTTGGGTTTGCAGTATCCTTTTTGACATTTGTGCAAATAACTTTTCCGATTTATTGTTTTGCCGGAACATAGTAGTTGTATCACAGAGATAAAAGCATATGGTGCAATTTTTTATTTTGGAACTGAGACACAAGTTAAAGCCATTTATCATTTAGGAAGCTACGAACCTCTGATTCTTTGAGTTAGATATTACTTCTGGGATTGTGCAAGAACGTGTTAGTAAATTTCATCAGTAAGTAGTAACTCTGAGAACTTGATCATGTCCATGAGATGAAGGCGAATAGCTACGTAGTATTGTTTTGCAGAGGCTGCGAAGCATTTCTTGAAGGACTCTGTCACCGGCAAACCCCTTATCAACACATACTTTACTGGGAATGAAAACCATAACTCTGGAAGTCTTGATTAGTTTCTGTTCTTGGGTATTTAAATTGGCAAATCTTGCATTTGAAAAACCATTCCTTATTTGCTTTTTGTTAATTATTGCAGAATCATGTGATGAAAGTTGTCAACTTGGACGA